TATACCAGTCACTAATAAGCTCCCTAGCCCACTACTGGTTTCCCATAATAAATGAGTGTTATCTCACTATTCCCATACACTGCTGATGCTGAGGGATAGAGTGGCTTATCCCGTGGTAGATTTGTTATTGCTACGTTTATAAATTCTCCGTTTATGTCGAATTCTAGTCGACCGGTTTCCATGTCAAGCATCATCCCTATCTTGTCCTTTATTTTTACGTCAACCTAAAAGAGAAGGAGAGAGAAATAAATAAATTGTATTTACTTGTACTTATAATCAAGAGTAGAAAATTATGCACTACAACTATTAAACTCAAAAATTGTCATAATAATAACAAGATAATATTATCGAAAATTATTATTAAAATTAGAAAATTATGGACCTTACATTATGTACACATACATTCATTTACATGTACATGTATGTCCTCAATCCTCATACAATGATAAATGCGTGAATAAGCTAATGATCCTGCATTATAATGAGCATTATCATCTCTTATTATTAATGTTATACATGTACATGTACATGTATATTCACATGCATTACATGTATAGGAGGTTATAACAGTCAATGTCTCCTTATAAACTACAATGTCTGTACATGTATAATTGTCCAGCCATTAACTAGTCATAACTGTGGAGTCATTAATGAGTATTGGTCCTCTTGAGAATTCAAAAATAACGTAATGAAAAATTAGAAGTATAAGGCCTTTTCACACTGGCACAGTTTTTAAAGCGCTTTGTTGATACAGCTGAAATAATGCGCATTGATAGTGTTCACACTAGCAGCTGAATTATGTATCATTTTGTTCTTTTTGCCATTGGTTTACATTGATCGAAGCGCATCACTTCACATCAATCCACCTCTGGAGGTGAAGTGAGAGTGACACGCATGAATTTGAAACCACTCTAGTGTGAACACGATTAATGCGCATTACTTTGGCCTGTGTGAAAAAGCCTATAGACTGAAATAATTCATTGCTCTATTGAGATTACATTGATAAAGAGAACAGTAAACAAAAAGTATATGTACATGTATCACTGATAATAAGTTGATAATCACATTCATTACAGTAAACATACTTCAATTGATTCTTCTAACACCTCCCCGTCATGTTTCAACTTCTTTTGTGAGAGGTCCCAGGCCCAACCGTGTTCATTATTACCCAGTAATGGTACATACCCACCCTTCTGCATTGGAGCATCTTTTGTACACACGCCCACTAGAGCCGCAGAGCCGAAACTAGGACCTTGAAATATGACGACAAAGTAATGCTGTCCTCTTAGAAACCCTGTCTTTCCTCTTATACCGTCTGATGATTGGGCCACTGGTTTTCTATGTAGAGTTAGGCAGTCGTCCTTGATGTATATGTTCTTGGAAGCGTCCTGTCCGTTCCAGGCGCACTCATAAGCGAGGGCTTTGGATCTAAAGGTCTGTAGCTCTGAGAGGTGTTTTGAGTTTCTGAAATGTCTTGTGCCCGCGTCTTCGAATTTGGCTCGCCAAATGACGGAGTCCTCGTCGCTGAGGAGACTGTACCACTTCTTACATACCATACTACATCTTATGAGGTCTTTAAAACTGGTGTATATGAATATTCTCTCTAATACGAAATGGGGTAGGAGAGACATCATGTCAGCCATTTTGTTTAGGAGTGGCGTAAACAGGTCTGGACCACGCCTGTCTAGTTTTGCTGAATTGCTATCGCGCGGAATTGCTGCACACTCATTTTTCTCGCATTTTTTGCATCAAGACAGAGGACACATCAGAAGTAGCTTGCTAAACTATCGAGTGGGGTGGCTAAAAGCCACACCCGCCTGCAAGGTAAGACCTGCACCTTTTCTAGCCATGTATCATGCCATACTATTTTGCTGTCACTGTCAGAGTGTTTGACCCCACCCATATTATGCACAATTTATGTGTAAGAAAGTACCTTGGGGAACCAACCCTCCACTTTTGCATGGGTTTTCAGAACCAGGTCTTGCTATAATTCTCTGTAGCCAGCTAGTCCTGGGCTCCTGTGTACATAGACAATGAATGTGTGGGCGGATGGGTCAGAGGACACTTCAGCTGCCAGTAAGGGGGGGGGGGTAGCTGGATGGATCCTGGAAAGCAGCCCATTTTACTTATTATTACTGGGAATGTGGGAATAAATGCTGCATATGTATGTAGCACTAATTATTGATAACTGATTGCATGATACTATAATATCAATAGCATCCTAAACAGTCAAACTCTCAGCCTTTTTGGCATGCTTCAGTCACATGCATGTTAATGCCCTACTAATCCAATCCTATAAGTGCCTATGTTAGTGGGTGTCCTTGAATGTAATAATGTAGATGGTGAGGAAACCCACCAAAATATTCTTCATATTAAACTGTTGACTAGTGTATTCATTACATATATGTACCTTCATGGAGGCACGTGTATACCTGTATATACGTATTGCTGAAAGGTTAAAAGCTGTCGACTTTACTTTTCCATACCTTTCCAAGCAGCTGCAAAGCTATATTATTTTCACTTTTAAGAATGTATGTACATGTATTGTACAGGTATAAAATTTTGTGGGGTATTTAATTTCGTGGATTTCGTAGGTGACTTCTTAACCACAAAAATTAATACCATGGAAATGCTCACTGCGCATGCGCAGCACATGAAAATCAATGACTTACATGTATTGCAAGTGCACATGCAAAAATGCAAATTTTAACCCCCTCGAAATTAAAGAATTAAGAGCTTTTTACTAAAACACGAAATTTTATGCCCTCAAAATTTATTACCCGTACGGTATTTGCTTGCTCTACTTAGTTCAAAAATTTTTTGAGTCCTTAGTATTAAAACTTTGTAGCAATACATGTACCTCTACAATGGAAGCTATGAAAAATTTTAATATGTGTTGTATCCCAGTTATATGCATACCGTATTTGCTCGATTAAACGTCCGGGCGTTTATTACTTAACAGGAAAAAATCAGGTAAAAATAAAAAAGCCTCTAGTGGATTTGAACCCACAACCTTCAAGCATTCCAAACTGTACTCCAACAGTTAGACTATCTGGCACAATCTAAATCCTGAGGCACATATACTGGCTAAAATATGCGTATCTATAGTTAGAAAATATTTTGCATGGACATTTATTTAAGCAGGGCATTTATTCGAGCAAATACAGTACATGTAAGTCATGAATCTAATATGTATGCCCCTTTCTTTCTCATTGTTCAAATAAAATTTATAGTTATGATTACGAATTAATGGTTGTGGTGGCTATCAAATGTTTAGGGCTTAAAAATTCATGTCTATAATATACCGTATAGGGATATATTTCACGGGGATTTAATTTCACTAATTTTGTGCTTTTAAATAATTTGTGAAAATTTTTATGTATTAAAATTATTTTTTATCATACTAATAATGGTCAGTACAGAAAAACGCAAAAATTTTTTCTTATGAATAGGTTGTAAGGTGATTTTTGTGGAATATTTTCCCTGGGAAATATACCCCTTATACGGTACATGTCTTGCAAATGCAAGCACCAAAATCTCATGTGCATTGAATTTTTACTACCATTTACATGTAAGTTTAAATCTCAACTTTATCAGTCTATAGTTCCTTTTTTGATCCCTTTTAATGATCAATTCTCTATTTCTTGTTACTATTGTATATCCTAATTATATTTTTCATTTCTCCTTTTCTTTTTCACTTGTTGGTTTTTCCTAATTCTGTCATTACTAAGTTTTGCCAAGATGTCAGATAAAGAGAGTGATGATTCTGAGAAGCCAATTGATGCATGTGATAAATCTAAAGAAGATAAGGTACAATAATTATTATCATTATGCTGGGGAGTAGATTTACCTTAACAGTATGAAACATTGCATGCGTACCATAATATTGGGAGTCCTTCAATAAGTTTATATGTAGAATCCATGCATTGTATTGTGCCTTTAGAGCCTCAGGGTATTTTCTTATACTGCTAAATCAAACTCACTTAATCTATCTACAGTGTATTCTGTGAGATGTAGTAGTTCATAAAGACAAGTTAAAAAACTAATTTTAGTGAATTTATTAGGGATCTTGAAAACAATTAATTTGATAACAAAATTATCAATTCATGGTTAATTTAGTGGATTTGGTCACAGGGAAATTACCGTATGGCCCAAAATTTTTGAGGCCTGAAATTCTTGCAAATTTGTCCAAAAATGTACCGTATACGTTCAGATTTTTGAGTTTTTAAAATTTCGTGTTTTCAATGAAATGTGTTCAAAAGTTAATATCCTTGTGAGCTAATTTTTGTGTTCCGGCCATAGTCTGCATACAATAGAATGGCATTAGAGGTGGTTTAAATTTCATGGATTTAAGGTGAGCATGAAAATAACGAAATTTACATGTACTACACCTCGAAAATTAAGACGTGTATGGTATCTTGTGGATTTAATTTTTGCAAAATTACACTGGTCTGCCATCTTTAATTGTGCCATATACATGTACATTGATTTTTGTGAATCTTAAAAGATTCACAAATCTGTGAAATTTATAGCCATCAAAAATTTTGGGCCATTAGGTAGTATAGACCACCTAGAGTGAGAATTGCTTGCGTGGGGAGACTATTACGGTTGTAAGGCGTGGTTTAGGATGAAATAAATTCCGGCCACCATTTTGGTTGGCAACTCTCAATGGAGAACAAACGGGCCGACATAAAAACAAACCTGTATTAAGAATTCTGGAGCAAATTTGACCAAATCTTTTACAGGAGAAGCTTAAAGGCAGCTGTTCTTTCTTATAACAAGCACTTTTTAGCTTTTGATAGAGCTACAGCAGGTAAGTGAGGCATTTTCTTCATGCCTCCATTGACTTCCTTAACAAACTTGCCAACCAAAATGGCAGCCAATCATGACGTGTGGATGGATACCATATATAAAATTAATGAAATTCATAGCTCTTGCAATTCTCACTCTGGGTGGTCTATACACGCTAATATGCATGTACACATGTAAGCAGGCTTAATGTACATTTTATCTTTTAATACATGTACTTGTACATGTATGTTGTTCTCCCTGATTTTAATCAGGGATATAATATACTAACGTAACCTGTCTTAATCTGTTTAACCTTTTAATCTGTCTTTTTCTCTGATATCAATCAACATTAATTAAACTGTTGTCTTGGTCACGCAATAGATAGTAAGTCATAATGTGTACTATTATTTACATTTTATTTTTTAATCTGTCTTTCTCTCTGATATTAATCAACATTAATTAAACTGTTGTCTTGGTCACACAATAGGCAGTAAGTCATAATGTGTACTATTATTTACATTTTATTTTTAATCTGTCTTTTTCTCTGATATAAATCAACAATAATTAAACTATTGTCTTGGTCACAATAGGAGGTAAGTCATAATATGTACTATTATTTACATTTTATTTTT